CAACAGCCTTCTGATATTTAAAGGGAGATTATAAACAGGAGGGAAATCAACTTTTTGCATGGTTAGATAACAAAGGGGAATGGTTTAAAACTAAAGGAAGAAAGATTGACATCAGATGTGAGGGTTTTTTTTTCACTGAGGGTGGTGAGATGCTGGAACAGGTTGCCAAGAGAGGCTGTGGATGCCCCATCCCTGGGCTTGTTCAAGGCCAGGTTGGATGGGGCCCTGGGCAACCTGGTCTAGTAGTTGATCTAGTGATTGGTAACCCTGCCTGCAGCAGGGGGGGTGGAGTTTGATGATCCTTGAGATTTCTTCCAACCCAAGCTATTCTATGATTCTATGATTTCCCCAACTCCCCTAGCAGTTGTTGATCTATTGCAAATGGCAGTGGGCAGCTTCCACAGCTCCAGAATTGAATTAATCTCTGTTACTATGTTATTATTATTATGCTTCCTTTTATACATGCATGAGAAATAAAAGCAAGGTTATTATTTGCATTCTTTAGCAAAAGAACAAGTCATAAGTCATCTTAGAAAACAGCCCACAAAGGAGGATTTTGGGAAGAGGAAAGGAATCTATTTGTCAGGAACTGAAAGTAAGACATGCCAAGAATGAGGATATCTACCCTCAGTCTCTTTAAAACCAAAACAAACCAGATGTTAGGGTTGTTATTTATTTGTTTGTTTGTTTTTCCCAGATATATTTCATCATACAGTGATTTTATCTTTAAGACTAATGAATGTAGGTAATGCATTCAGTTTTACCATTAGATACGCCCATCTAACACATTTTCCTTCAGCATGGGACCGGATGCTTGTTTCATTTCCAGTCCTAACCCTAGACTTCTCTCTGGAACTTGTACTGCTTAGAATTTTATTCAGAGGAAAGTTTAGATTTAGCTTCCACTCTCTATTTTATTTTTAAATCTAAATCCATGCTACAATTCAAATCCCTTCAGTTCATGCTGAATTGGCACACTTGCCTGTTTCCTATGTACATTTTATTCTTACAATTTACCATCCCCAAAATGAAAACAACCTTTAAATTGCCTTGTACTGAAATTCTTAGGGGGGCACCGTTCATCTTCCATAATAATAAAAGTAAAGCACGGAAAGACTGAGTATAAAAAGATGGATTCAGAGTTCAATTTTCTCAGTCATTTGCGGAGTGGACAAGATTGAGGCAGTAATGGAAGCGTGCTACGGATGCTGGTTAGTTAAACGATGACAGGCCATCAGAGACTGCAGGAGAGCACATCCCTTTGATGGCTATGACAACCCAGCGAAGTTGCCCTGGGAGTTGATGGGCTTTGTTCTGATTGTATTATGCATCCCCTGCACGTTCGCTTCTTTTCCACAGCAAGAGCTGACAGGACCCAGCTCCTCTTCCCACCACTCTTTCATTCTTGATATTTAATCCATTGATGGACACATTCCTCTTCTTATGCAAAGTTTTTGGAAAACCAACAATTAACATTGGTTAATAAACATTCAACGTGGACTTTTCCCTTCAAGACTTTGAGATATTTATTTCAAAACTGCAAATACTGGATCAAAATCCTTTCTACTTTGAAGTCCAAAAACACCTGAATCACTGAAAGTAACAACTCCTCAGTCTCAAGAAACAAGAGTTCATGGCCAACTGCACACTCAGTGCAGGGAACAAAAGAAACTGGTAATAATGAGATACCACTTAAGCGCTATTTCCCTGTAGGGTTTGCAAGGCCGAAACTTGGTAATACTGAAATATCAGGTAAGTGCTGTTCTCCTGTAAAATATGCAAGGCCAAGGCAAGTTCTCTTCAAGTGCTTATTCCAGAAACCCATCATGCTTAATGATATATTATTGGTATAAGCACCTGTTCATTTTAAAGTAAATTACATACGTCATGCATGTATTAAGCAAGTGAGCACCTGAATACAGTTAAGATTGAAGAGGTTACCTTGCAAACATTTTTATATTAGAAAAGCAGTTTTTGAAGAAACTTGAGTAGAAAAATCTACTTCAATATTCTGTTGGGGAGGCTTTGCTCTTGGTCAGCGTCCACCTGCATATCAGTGAATTGTAAGCCCTGCCATCAGATGCTTACCTACAGCTGCTTCATTAACAGTCATTGTTATTGTGGCATTCGTATGCTCACAAGCTGTCTCAGTCTCCCCAAAGAAAAACATTGATGTCTGATTTGTGATGCAGGTTCAATCTGCCTTAATGACAGAAAGAGTTGTAAAGGAAACTTAAGTTTTCTTGGACCAACTACTAACTACTTTGCATAAACACACACATGCATCCTCAAACAGTAACAACCTTGAATACCTGACCAACTTCACATTTGATATCTCAGAAAACAAGGCTGTGTTAGCTGAAGGCTAAAATACAGTTATCTCCATGTTGCAATCCAGTAAGCATTTTTGTTTCAGGATTTAGTTCCTAGAAGACTGGAGGAAATTCGTGGGTTTGAGTTAATCAGTGTTAATAATCAAGCCTCTCTTCTTGCACACATTCTGTTAAGGTTTCTAATAATTGTCAGCAAACATTCCTTTTTCAGGGCAAACTCTCCTCAAAGAAAACCAGCAAAAGAGTTTGATCTAGTATAATTTGTTTAAAAAGTAAATTCAAGCTTTCAGAGAGATGCTTTATTGTGCCTTTTGCATAGACACCAAGGAGACCAAAATATCGGTGCCTTTTAAATTAAACTAAGAACATAAATTAACTCCTGCTTTGACTGTCACTACCATAGTGACAGTATACTATTATCAAATTCCAGTACAAACACAATCCAACAGCTGTACCTCACTTCTTATTCTAACAGAAGAAATACTATGCATCTGTCCTTGGAGTACTTCCCATGAAAAGTCTGCTTAACTCCTTCTGGCAGGTAACAGTGCCTACCTACTAATGGCAAGGCAATTTTCAAAATGAACTAATTTCCTACATAAAACGTATCGGTTTTCCTTCTACTAGAAGCCTGAATGTACTTCAACAATAACTTCTAGTGTCCCAATTTGTCAAATTTCAATATAATCCTGTAGAAGTATTTTGACAAATCTCTTCAATTAAATCAAAAGCTCAATAGCATTCAGCACTTTTTAACAGCATTATTTCCTCAGAGTGAGTGATCATCTGAGTTTTTCTGCTTTTAAAATGTCTCACTGGAAGAAAGTGGGGGGTGGAGGGGAGCAACAATGGAGGGAAACAAGCAAGCAAAAAAACCCCACCTGGAACCTGCAGTATATTCTCCATCTTCTTGTGGGTACTGGATACTGAAAACCAGACAAATTCAAAAAATCTCTTGATATAGCAATCACCTCTCGGCTCATCCTGCAGTTTAACTCTCTCCACAAAATTCACAGCTTGATGAAGGCTATGCTGGATGGTGAGAACTTTTTACAGGACTTCTCACCTGTTCAACTAGTGCACACTCCTTGCCCTAGAATCTCTCCCCCATACATACCTTGAGTTTTCTTGGACCCAATCAAGCTTTTGGTTTTCTCTAGTAACAGTTATGATGCAATTCTAGCAATCGCTATTGGACCACTGGTAATCACTCTGGTGGTCTGTGGTTTGCTTGATGTTAAACTCTTCAGCTTGCATTTAATGAAATACATTCATGAAAGGGGAAAGGTTACTTGATGAGACTCAAAAAAAGTGAGGATGTTGCAATGAACTTCCCTCTCTTTCATACACACTACACAGATATCACAAATCTCTTCACTAAGTTTATTTTCCTCGCAAAGAGTATCTGAATGTTCCTTAGAGACACTCTGCAACTGATAACTGCAAGAGTGAGATGAGGTATAAATGAAACATCAGCCCTCCATTAACATGTCATCTACATTCCAAAAAAGTTCAAGATTTCAGCCTGGAGGTACTGCTACGGATGGATAATAGCATGAGATATGGTCATACATGTTTAATTCATAAACCTAGTAGCTAAAAATTATTAAACTGAACTGGAAGTGTGAAGAACTTCAGTAGCGCTCAGAACAAAGTACAGATGCACTTGCAAAGTTGGTCAACGTTGTCACTGTAAATCTAAGTTCTGGAGAAAATTAAATCCCTGTGAAAGCAGTGGGAAGCTCCCAAGGCATCAAGGGTAGTGCTTCTGTTTGCATGGGTCGCACTTTGGTTCTCTGCATCTCTTCACTCCTCCCTGCACTACAGGGTGCTCTTCAGACAGAAAAAGCACTACAAAATGAGGCCGCTAAGGCAACATCATGATAAACAGTACTGTGCAATAAAATAAGCACTTATTCTGTAGCCAAAAATGTAAACTCATAGATGGGAGAAAGAAGTAAAGCAGAGCAGAGAAGCAAATGAGGAATTGAAGCGCCAAAGTCAGCAGGCAAGATGAGAAGTGAAGACAAGGCCTGTGAAAAAGGAGAAGAAAAAAGCAGAAAGGAAGGAAAGGAAGACGGCAATCAGAGACCAGAATGTCATTTGAGAAAGGAATAAGTTCTTATTTCTGATATGTATTATCTACTATGGCAGTCTCTCACTGCAACATATCATCTTTCACTTCTTTCCTCATTTAAGTCAGGAAATGGGAAAAGAAGAACCTATAAAATTTGGGGCTTATTCTTCTTTCACCTGAGTATGTGCCAGCTGGAGTTAGCAGGTAACAAGCGAAGAATCAAATCAGAATCATGCTTAACAATCTCCAGTGACCCCACAAGTGACACCTGCAGGATGTGGATTGTACAGAACAATTTCAGATCTCAGTCAGTCTACTTCCCCTCCTCCTTTCTGCTCCTCAGAAACAAAACTGACAGGCAGTGGAAAAAGAGGCTAATTGGAACAAATGGCACAAGTTCCAAGCCGCAGTCAAGGCTTCTCCACTTTTCCAAACAGGCTGTTCACATCAGAGGTCAGAAACCAAAAGGATGGCAGGCAAAGAAATTGCAAAGGCAGACATGTAGTAGGACCGCTATATTGGATTGAGAGCATTTTGTGAAGGCTATTGATGAAAAGCAGCAGATTCCAGTGTCATAGTCAGTTTTATACCATAACAGATGTGTGGTGCTGCCAACTAGCTGCATTTCTCCTCTGTGAGGCACCAGTTCCCATCTTCAGATTAAAAGGTTTCAGACTAGGAGCCCAGCTGACAGAGACAAGCGTGACACCATGAATCAGCTGTGGGTCCTCATTCCAGCCATCTGAAGGAATATGGAAACCCCGGTATCATCTTCATGCATTGCAAGGCAAACAAACAAACAAACAAACAAACAAAAACCACATCTACATTTTTTATTGTGCTTAGCCTTTAATTTATGAGTGAAAGAGCCTGCCACTTCACCATGGACAGGCTGCTCAGCCTCAGCTCATGATGCTGTTCATTTTCAATTAAAAGATGAACACTTCTAGAATCACAAAACTCAAGTTAAAAGGGACCTTAAAGACCATCTAGTCCCAGCTTCCTGCCATGGGCAGAGATACTTTCCACTAGATCAGGCTGCTCCAAGCCTCATCCAACCTAGTCTTGAACAGCTCCAGGGATGGGTCACCCAGCTTCTCTGGGCAAACCTGTGCCAGAGCCTCATCACCCTCTGAGTAAAGAATTTCTTCCTGATACTTAACTTCAACTTTCCCTCTTCCAGTTTAGAGCCATTATCCATCATCCATGATAGGGCACACACTCCTTGACAAAGAGTCCCTCTCCATCTGTCCTGTAGGCCCCTTTAGATACTGGAAAGATGCAATGAGGTCTCCCCAGAGCCTTCTCTTTTCCAGACTAGATAAGCCTATCTCCTTCAGCCTTTCCTCACAGGAGAGGTGCTTCAGCCTTCTTTTGGGACTCCTCCAGACCCACTCCAACAGCTTCACATCTTTCTTGTGCTGGGAGCTCCAGACCTGGACACATACAGGTGAGGCCTCATAAGGGCAGAGTAGAGAGGGACAATCCTCTCCCTTGCCCTGTTCATCACCCTTCTTTTGATGCTGTCCAGAATGCAGATGGCTGCAGGTACACACTGATTGGTCATACCTGTTCCTGGGACTGACCCGAACTAGGTACCTAATAGGTACCAAATACAAAACCTAGGACTTTGTATTTGGCCCTGCTGAACTCCATGAGATTCACACAGAGCTACTCTCTATCCTCTCCAGGTCCCTCAGGATGATATCCAGTCCCTCCTGTGTGCTGATTGCATTTTGGTGTCTGATGATTTAAATGCTGGTCTGTCACCTCACGTCAATAAAGCCACGGATCAAAGAACTCTACCTCAGTTTATTGATTCTTAAGTCATAAGACACCAAACAATGCTTCAACTTATGAGAGGGCTTATAGACGGGAAGGAGACTGACTTGTTACACAGAAGTCTTAGTGACAGGACGAGAGGGAATGATTTTAAACTAAAAGAGGGGAAGATTTAGATTAGATATTAGGGGAAGTTTTCTTACATGGAGAGGTGGTGAGGCACTGGCACAAGTTGTTCAGAGGAACTGTGGATGCCCCATCCCTGGAGGTATTCAAGGCCAGGTTGGATGGGGCCCAAGGCAACCTGGTCTGGTGGGTGGCAACTTTGTCCATTGCAAGAGGGGCTGCGACCAGATGGTCTTCAAGGTGTCTTTCCAAACCAAACCCTTCCGTGATTCTATGATCCAATCTTTGAAACATGTGAGGAGCACTGCGTATACAAACAACACAAACAAATGTGTTACTAACTCACAGCAGTGAAGCACATGCACAAGTATTAATGGGAACAGGTTTGAGTTTGTCCTTAAAGTTTTAGGAAACTGAGAATAACAGAAAACTGCCTCCCTTATCATTTCCACACAAATACAAAAATATAACAATGTATTTTCAACATGTAAAATAATGACTACAAATTCTCACAGAAGTGTGTCTTTTTCAAAATTGATGTCCAGTTTAAGCAATGGATGTTTTGACATGAATCGTGTCACACAAAGGCTGAAGAATTGGACCTCCCACTTCCTCAGCTAAAGGAGATTATTCATTGCTAAGCTGCTTTGCAAATAAACCACCAGTGCACCTGCTGCCGGTTCCTGTTCAACAGCAATACTTCTGAGTAGCATCTTTTTATACTGGTGGAAAAGATAAAGCTTCAGCATAGGCTTCCTCCCATTCATTCTGCATTCACTGAGTCTTCAGTTGCAATACTGAAAAGGCCACAGATTAAATTAAAACCTTGTTCTTCTTCCCAGCTGTTTTCTTGCTATGGTCCAGATTTCAATACAATATCCTAGCTCCCTGGAAAGAACCTCAAGTGCTTCAGAAAGCACAAAGAGTGAACTTTGATACTAGATTCTCCCCCACATCGCCTCCCCAGCACCGCTCTGTGAGCTGCCTGATACTAGAGCAAGGAGCAGATGGGGAACCTGAACCCTTTAGGACCAGAACAAGCAGCTAACTCACGGATTCATGCTGACCTTTCCTTTGGAAGCACTGGCTCTGCCTCATCATTCCCGACATATGAGCACACAATTCCTGGGAAAAAAAAATTCTGAAGTTAGCTGGACTATTTATTCAAGGATATTTGAGAAATCCTGTTTTACCGTCATCATCATAAGATTTCATGGCTTGATTTTAGGGCTTCATCCAAAGACTGCTGAAGGGAGCAGCTGCCGTGGGTTTTGACTTGTATCTAGGCTAGGACTACAAAACATAAAACAGAATTCCTTTGCTGCTGTTAATCTTTATGAAGACTAAGACAGATGATCTGTCTATAGGGCTTTTAGTGGTGCAGACTGCCTGAAGAAGTTGCCAATTACCAAACCATGTGCCCAGGTGACTACAAAGTCATTTATACCAAAACCAGACTAAAAGACTCATGTAATTATGATTAAATTTCTGTGCTGCCTTCTGTGCTATTATGGATGCTTTTGTTAGGCACGATCCTTTTTATTTTTAATTAAAAACAAAAAGTCAGTCTCTTGGGGGTCCTATTTATATTTTCACTTCTAACTTAAGTACAAACACACCAGAAAAATTATAGCCACAGTCAAATAAAAATAGCTGAAGAACTTGCAGCTGTTGATAATTTCCCAAGTATTCAACACTGCTCATTTAATGATGGAACAGCATGCTCCAGTTTCAGACCTTGCGCAATGCTACACAAACAGGAGGCAGTTATTTGAGTTGGTGTGAATGCCAAAGGCGAGTAAACTGTTAAAGCAGCCAGAGAAGGGGCAAGAGAACAACACAATGTAGACCACTGGGTATCCACACAAAACATTTCTCCCTGCTTATTCTTTTTCATTTGAAACCATTAGTCAGTTCACCAGTTGGTCAGATCAAGCTCAGAGTACAGCTGGAAAAAAAAAAAAAAGTACTCAATACAAATTCACAATTTGGAAAAAAACAAAAACTATCCACAGTTGCTAAGTATTTTCTCAAACTTATCTGCTTGCAATTGAGACCAAGCAAATTAGCAGACAGTTGATGCTTATAAATTCACAACACTCAAGGGTACCAATGAAATACAAAAGAAAATCTAAGACTTGGGTACAAAAGTAAAATTCAAAGGCTCAGAAACAACAAAAAAATCAGGAAACTTCATTATAATTGGAAATTCGGACCTTCTCCTGTTAGGCTCCATTTGCCTTGTTCATATGCGTAAGGGCACAGTTAGAGGTCATAAAGTCAGAGCATTCAGCGGGTTATATTTAAGGGAAAAAAAACTTATCTTGTTAAGGACCCATTGCAACAGCAAAATCTGAAGCATGACAACCAAGGAACAGTTTCAAAGAGAGGGGAAAGTTAAAAGAGTTGAAAGTCAAAGTGGACGGTAGTTTCCCTAAAGAGAAGGAAACAAAATCACCAAATGGATTTTGTTCAGCTTTTGTATTTCATATTAGAGATACTAATAAAGTAACCTGTGCCACAAAGCACCTGTAGAAATAGCTATAACAAAAAACAAGGAAAACAGAAAATATCCTCACAAACAGACAATCCCAAATCACAGCAACACTCCTGCATGTCCTCCCTGTAGGTAGAGGCTTATCCAGTAGCAACCTGAGCCTCTTCCTGGGCACTGATTTAAAGCTCTTGGTTACTTCCAAAAGGAGTTCAAATTTTGGATAGCAGGTGCAGGCTCCTCCAGGGTAAAGACCCAAGAACTATGTCTATTTTTGAAACAAATTTTTGCCCGGTGGCAGTCCTTGCTTCCCCGCGGGCATTCCAGCAAAGCCTTTAGTCTCCTCACTTGAGAGGTCATATTTAGGAAACTTGCCCCCAGAAAAGCACAGGAAATGTCTGAGTGCATTTTTCTCTCTTGTGGAAAGACACTGACAGGAAAAGACTGATGACTGGTCTGTTTCAAAGGTGTGTTCTGAGGAGTTGCAGTGTCGGTCAAGAGTGCTGGAGGAGGGGTGGCGGGGGGCTCACACTAATCTGACAGTCGTATTCTCAATCCAGCAAACGGCAACGATGACAACCAAGAAGACAAAGGAGGAAGAAGACAACTCCCTGGGTTGCATCTCAGGTATCCTTTTGTGCCTGCTGGGCTTGCAGGTGCACTGTCCCAAGGTCATAAACAAGCAAGGTCTCAATAACAAGTTTGTGGAAAATAAGTTTCTATCAAAACTTTCTTGCAGGAAAGGTAATGTCAGGTTGTCAGCAAAGCAAGACTATCCCGTGAGAGAACAGGATCCAATACCTCCCTAATAACCTCCTCTGACTGGTTGTCATGGTGATGGCCTGGTTCTGCAAATGTTTGAGACAGACCAAGCACACCCCAGAAAGTCAGAAAGTAATTTTTATTGGACCTTCATAGGCACTGAGGACATGGTTTAGTGAGCATGGTGGTGACGGGTAGGCAATTGGACTAAATGATCTTATTAATCTTTTCCAACCTTAATTATTCTATGATTATATGAAGGTAATGCATGGAAGGGATCAAAGAAGCCCCTGGTCATCACAGAGCTCTAACAGCCCACTAAGTGCAGAGATTTTAGGATGAGGCCTTACCCAGTATGATACTGACGTGCACAGATCCTTCACATGCACACCGACAGCTTCTGCATCCATCTGAACTAGCCCACATGCCATCAGGGCACCCACAGCACACTTTGCAAATCTTTCTGCTGGAGTAAGCTCTTCACACTTCAATCCCAGTCCAGCCAATTGTGTTCAGAGAAGCTTCAAGGCTTGCAACTATGGTGTCACCCAGCTAAGCTAAGGGCCTACTATGTTCTCCTTCCACTAGGAGGAGAGAAAAAGAAAACTCTACACCATACAGCTGTTTTATCATGGCAAAGTGCAATTCTGCATGTTCATTCAAATTATAAGAAAGGAAAGGAAGCATCATCAGGAAAAACTCTTAAAATCAGAAGTGGAATACATTTGTGGGGCTAATGTGAGACTGCCAACTGAAAGGCAAAGATCACTGAAATTAACAATTCTACAATGCACCAAGAGTCTAAGGAGGATTGACTGGAAATTCTTGTCCTATTTCAGAACAGCACTACAAAAAAAGAAGAAAATCTTGCCTCTTCAAAAAAAATAAAAATCAAGTAAAACAAAATAAAAAGCAAACTAGCATAGTAATGGCATTCTTCATAGGCTAGAAATACCTCCTTTAAACCACTGAACACATCAGGAGATAGGAAAGAAAAGGATGAGCATTCTTCAAAAGACCACAACTACAAAGGTGAGTAAAAAGAAACAAAGAGAGAAAACACAAGGAATCAGGATGCCAGACTGTGAACTCTAAGATTGTTGCAAAGAAGAGACCGCTGAACACAAGTGACACACAGAATAATATAAATTTAAGGATATAAGCAATAGATGACTGGCAGATGTTGTATAAGGACAGCAAAACACAACGTTGCAAACAAACGAGACCTGGATGAGAGGGAAAGATGATGATGTGCTGTTCACTCAGCTCTGTAAGAATGAGGAGACAAAAGGGAAGACTACACTAATGCACTGACTGCTTTTCAAGGCTGTAGGAGAACAGGTAGAAGTCTCAATTGCATTCTTTGTGCCTAATGCACAACCAACTAAACTAGAACATACTGAATGATTAAAAAACAATTTTTTCTTCAATAAATTAATTTTTTTTTTGGGGGGGGGGGGGGGATAGTTTTACCCTTTACTACCTCCTCACCCTCCCCAATATCATCTGCATCTCTCCTCCAGCACCTGTCTTGTGCTAGCTGATACTCCACTTCTAAATTGCTCCAACTGAAGAGCTGTTTTTGGGAATGCTTGTACTCAGTGGACATCTTCAGACAGTCTGAAATGTAAAAGCTTTTCCTGGAAAGAAAAATCATGACATCTTTTAACTTTGCTTGCTGAATTTAAATTTTCAGCATGGAAGGAGAATGAAGGGAAGTGGGCATTAAACCTCTCAAAACCATATCCTGCCTTTGCAGCAGGCTTAGGCAAGGCCTAATCACAAGCCATGTAAAAAGAGTTTCAGCAAAGCTGAAGCCTCTAGACCTCCCTGATAAGAATTTTAACATTTGTAGGAAAGCACCCAGATACTACTACTACTACTCTGCTACTGCTACTCCAGCAGGCAGCATGTCTGAATTTGGAATCTGTGAGTACCAGCACATCAGCAGTGCTTTTGCTTCTTAAAGCAGATGGCATTGGTTTCCATTAAATGAGGGTTAATTGGTAGTTTTACAGTTTCTGTGTACTTGAAATACACAATACATCAATTGTATAGGCACACTTAGCAAACATTAGGTAAATGGTGCATAGCCAGGACTATTTTTGCTGCTGCCCTGGACTGAGGGCTGGGTGCCGTGAGATAGGCACATTTCTTTTCCTCCTTCCATGTTATCAGCAAGGTAACTGGATGCCTGGTGGGGATATGCATAACCTTCAAAGACAAGCCACTGTACCTGGCATGTGGGTATAACTGCACAGGGGCAGAGGAAAAGCAGAGGCCAGACCAGCTGCTCTCATGTATAAAATGCAAAATCTGCCAGGTCTCTGTGCATACAAGTTAACTGGAAAAGTTCCACAGGCTCCTGGGAAGTTGCCAGCTTTGCTGGAAACGTTGCAAAGGATACTTACAGAAGACAAAGAAAAAAAGAGAATATAAAACAAATTATTAGAAGGCACTGACTTCTCAGCCTCAAACAAAGAGCTCGCAGCAGCCAGTACACATAAGAGCAGGTCTCTGCATTCACTGGCACTTATTCTTGGAGCCAATTCTCATTTTCATCACCTCTGTTTTTCTTTGTGTAGAGCCAGTAATGTTGTTTTGCTAATGGCTTATGCAGAAGTACTGGAGCCAGCAGCACACACACTGGTTGCTTTTATTAGTCTATTAAGATGAAATGAAGCTGGTGTTAAAGTTTTTATAAGCATTTAGGATATATCATTATTTGCTCAGGGCACAAAAGCAAGCAACAGCCTGTTATACAACTGTGCAGGCACTGAGCATCTCTCCCCAGGTCTAAGGAGGAATCCGGATGGACTGAAGGGAAAAAGAACAGAGGAAAAGTCAGTCCTCCTGAGCTTCTGCTGGG